AATAGACAGATAGCGGGATAAATAGATAAACCAATCTGAATAAAACCTCTGTTACAAATAGATCTGAGCAATATTCATATAGACAACGAAAAGGAGTGAAACGGGGAGAAACGTGTTGCAAGGAAAAAAACGACTTATGCAAGAAATGAACGATATTCGTAGTCACTTAGCGCATTCACATACCCAAAGAATGAACTACTACGATGCGACAACCAATGATCATTTTGATAACTTGTCCATTTCTCCTAGAACACAATTCGAAAAGCCATAAATTGAAGCCAACCTCGGCGAAAGACGGTATTAAAATGTCCCAAACGCAAATCTTAATCTGTATAGCGACAAAATAAAGCATATGACAGCAGAGACGGTATCGCAAAACTAGTTAACCTTCTTGAAGCAATGCGTATCACAAAAGGTTGCACCGTGATGCGGTGTGATGACCTGACAATACCTATGAACTGCACAGTGACCAATAACAAAACGAAGATTTAGGTACGGTTAAAACGGCAGAGCGCGAAGGCAAAACATAATCGAACTGCCTGATCCTTCAGGTTGACGATTCCATCTCAGTCAGTACACACGGTAGAAAAATAGATGATCAAAATTAGCCTCATCCTCCGATATGCGATCATAACCAACTAATACGGATAAGTAGACTTTGTTGGCTACGAAAAGTGTTGCGCATGCCTATCAGCCATCAATTGCGGCGCCCGTTTGGCAGTTGCGGCTTCAGCGAGGAGGAAACCATATAGAGGTAAACAAATGCTGGTAATAAAACATATGGAGAGATCAATCGGGGATTGGCACAGGTGTTTTCTATCTTCGAGATGAGATTTAAAAAACCTCGTTGGTTAAAAGAAACCGGGGGAACATGACAACGGTGGTCTTTTCACTGTCATTTGGTATCAGGTAAAACTATCGGAAAGGGTGTATGTGCAATTATGCTGTGAACGATGGGTGAGTTGATCAGTGTGGCTCAGTTCTACCCCGAAAACAACCACCTCAAGCTGTGATCAAGTTTCTTAGGTACCCGAGGATCTCAAATATTTCTAACTAATCACTACAGAGGGTGCAGGCAGTTAAAACTCTTGCGTAACTACGATAAACGTAACATTAGCAGGCAGTACGAACGAACGCGACATAAGTACAGTTAAAAAAGTTTGAATTCAAATAAGTCATCAAACAGGTAGAACGTACTCGCTAGAGCCCGAATCTTCCGGGTTGAACGGGGCTCGTTCATCCGATAGACAATGTACCAAGTTTTGCAAATCGCTCGCGTATTTATACAGACGGCGCAGATAACATAGAAATTCCCCTGAATGAGTAAAATATATGGGGAATATAATCAAAACACAATCGATGGCAACAACCGAATGGTCAAAATGCAAGAACCATAGGGAAAGATCAAAACTGGATGATTCAGACCAGCAAACGGATGGCATGAACAGCGTTCTTCGTCAGAGTAACAGAGAGAAATTACAGCTGATTACTAAGGAATACATTTTATTCAACCACTAACTTGACACTTTTGTGCGGCGGTTGTGATTGCTGTTATTTGATGGTCCATTTAGATTTGAGAGAAGAGTGCACGCAGGGCCAGGGTGAAAATAGAGTTTATGAGGACTAAGGCTATAAAGATATTGAACAGATGCATCAGAGCCACTGTTCACAACACCCATTCAAATCACACAGCACGTCTAATCGGTTACGCTGATCCCATCCAAGGGGCCTAATGCGACCGATATGACCAAATCTCTTGACCAGGATTTTCATACTCGTAGACAGCTTTGTTGTCGCCCGGTTAACTGTCACGCCTGACCGAGCACGGCCTTATGTGGTTCGCCACTCCAAGTCCCGGGAATCAGGATGCCGGTTACCATCACTGACTATGGGTTTCGTCCGGTCCGCTGTTCATCACACATTGGTGTACAATAAAAAAATACTGGGTCTTGGTTTGATCGCCCATGACTTTTCAAATCAATTATTCACCAAGGTAAATATCGCGAGTGGTGGTAATCTATTTGGTGGCACGTGCAACAAAGCACAACCAGCATGATCTATGGGGGGTCGACCACTTTCCCCAGTGGGCAACCGCCACTTAATAAACCTATGCACCTGACCTCAGCGTTGCATGTACGGGTTCCCCACTAGACTCATGAGGCGTTTACCGCGAACATCGACACTCGATCTTCATCCTGTAAAGGCGAAGCCTCTGCACGATATACCGGAACTGACCGAAATGCTGAAGTATACACTCGATCCGTCACAAACANCCGGATATCATGCCGATTTAAGCTATCTTAGATAGTGTGCCCAAAACCTTGGCTGCACTTCATCAGCGCTGAACATTGGGATGATAATGTTTTTATTGTGTTGAATAAAGAGAATCATCAGTCGAAAGGTCGATTCAGGGCAGCGCTTTGCCAAATCTCAAGCAAAGAAGCATAAGAGAGTCATACAACAAAGGATATTTAAATGAGTACAAAGTATGACATAACAGGACTAAAACTTACGCCAGGAACAGCGACGTGAGACAATCTGGTATTGAGAAGGACAGCTCATCAGTACTGATAGCTCGCATTCCAGCTGAGACCTGAAACACAAGTTATGTTCGATGAGGGAGAGTAGTTGGCATATCGTATGATTATATCGAATCTGGTTATGATAATCACACGTGTATGAATGATACAACTGATAGAAACTATCGGGATCGTAGAAACCAGAAAATTAGGCAAAAAACAAAAAAATCTCGCTTGTAGAAGAACAATAAAACCTTGCTGTTCATGAAGAACAAATATTGCCCCCAAATTAAACATAATTATAAAGGGAAACACGTCAAATATATCAGAATTTGCATTTATTCCGCTACAGGCAGCAATTAGAGAGGTCAGAGGCAAATACGAATCAGTAGTACAAAGCGGTGGTCTGTGATGTAATACAATTCCCAAATGGGTAACCGTCAGTGTACCAGAGTGCAGACATAAATAAGCCATTCTGATTTACATTTTCTGGATGAAATTGTGAAAAAAGACAAACCTCAACAATACGGTCGCTTCGAAACGGTCGCCAATTAGAGCGGACATAAGATTGCGATGTTCGATGGTGGATTCATCCTCCGCACCGTTCAAGTCTTCCCATACGCTCTTTCCGGTTGGATTCAATGAAGCCTATGCGAAAACAAAAACGGGAAAAGGAAATATCGATTATTGGACGATACGGTTAGCTTCGAGAGCAGACAGTTCGGTGCACGGGGATTGTACTTTTAGTAGAACAAATGGAGCGATGCACAAATTGCAGAACTTGGTGACACTCATTGAGAAATTGTGCGAAAAATGTCTTCATACGAAGGTGAAATTACGATAAGGATCGATGCAAAGTGACGAAAGTAGAGTTAGCGGTAAATAGTTATGTGGACACGCGGAAGTACAGAACAGAATGGAGATGAACGCACGACCGACGGATGGGGGAAACAGAGTGAAGTATTTCGGAAAAAATTGATCCATCGCAAAGAAAGTCTCTGTATGGTCGGGGGCGGTTTTCTTCGGTTGTGACTGATCAACCTTTTGCATTTGGTGAAATGTTCCTATACCACAAAGCCTCTCAAACAACTTCTGCTGAAGAAGTATACACTGCCTACCCGTGGCGGTGTTTTCCCAACAAAGTGGGAGCACAAAAAGCCAACATCAGGGTTGGTGAACCACTGGCAGTTCACCTACAGGAACTGGCTAAAACCTGTGATTCCAAACCAAATAAGAAGAGGTGAGGGAAAAACACATGGGCTACAATTTTCAAACATTGGCAGTGGTAGCCTGCTCGACTGAGATGTCTTCGGCGCCTTGGACGTTCGACAGCTTCCGATGAATCGGACATCGTCCCCGATGGATTGAAGTTTTCGCACACCGCCTCACTGCCTTGGGGGTACAGGTATAACTAGTCGAAGGTTCTCGTTGTCAAATGCGAAAGAAGATTCATCTAATTTACCCTGAGCAACCTGCTACTATGCCACCCAAGAGAAAATCATGAGCATTTTTCTTTGCCTCAAAGACTATTGTACCGTGATTTGTTTGGGGCCGTCTGGATTCAGTTGCGTATGAAATATAGCAATATGCGTGATCCGCCCATAAAGAGCACAAAGCAAACAGAGGAAGACAAAACTGGTAGACAAGTTACTGAAACAGTGAAACTGCGTATTTCGCACTTCTGGCTTGTTCATGCACAGAGGTCAATCAGCTTTTCTTTGCACTGTGGGTTTTTTAGCCGTTAAAATTTACACGAAATACGTTCTGGAACTGTTTACAAACGGTGATCGTACGTTTATTTTGATTTCGCGTTGCAAACAGTGCATGATATCGGAGACCGGATACCACCTTCCGAGCGAATAGATTTTCGCAGTAATGAATGATTTCATCACGGAAACATGAAGTAGAGAACAGGTTCATTTCGCTGCGTGGTGTATTGGATATAATTATTGTCATCCGGAATGTGTTGTCCAACTGTCCTCAATACAAGACAGCAAACATTGAAAAAACAAACAAGTTGTTGGATAAACGGCAAACGGGTTCTAATGCACGAACCAGTTAATATTCAAAAATTAACGATATGGTCTATATCAACTCGCTTTTACGTGCTATTGGATTGCAACTTCTAGTAGTTCTTGTCATAGGTTAAAGGATATACACTGTTCATTCCAACTCAACCAGTACAGCAGTTTACAACAATATTTCGCGCCGAGGGGATAACGAATCCTACCCGAAAACGAACCCAGAGTTCACCGGGCCAGTTTGATCCCAGCGAAAACAAATCAAATATGAACAGACTTACCAGGACATTTTTCAACGTGTTGATATGTTCTTGTGCAGAGCGCGAATGACCCATGGCCATAAGCCGCTCTTTTTCTGCCGTACATGTGGGTATCAGGGGCAGGAGATGATGGACATCTCGCCGACAAAGTGGACACGGGAACCAGTTACGATTCCGAATGGGACCGGAGCGATTTGCAGCCTGTTCAATGAAGTCAATAGGAAGGAGGAAAACAAAAATGGAAACAGCATGATCGAAGGAACCCGAAATTCAGTGGAAACGACAAGCTATTGGCGAGGGGTCTGATCAAAAGCATGAACAGTGCCGTTTGGTCACACTCGGAAACAACTGAATTCAGCGCTCCGGGAGAATTCATGTGTGTACCCCGAAACACTACATTTGGCTGCTGTTCTTCTAGAACTTCGCTAAAAATCAGTGGCGCTCTTGCAGCTTTGCCGATATGCATTGCGGAAGTGTGGTATGGCTGGGACAGATACAAACACAGAAAATGGTCAAATTAATTTGAATGGACTGAGAGAACGAAGTTGCTCGGAACGTGCGTTCCACCGAAGCTATTATTGACTGGTTGAACGTGAAGTGTTGGAGATAGTACAGATTAGAAGCTGTGGATTACCTATTCGACATAAATATGGGAACCCAGCAGTGATATTCGCATTGTTTTTTTCAGTGGAAGTTTGATACAAAACAATAATAAACTACAAATGGATAGAGTTGATGTAATAACGTGGTATTATTCAATTACAGTCCTACATTGCGAATACAACTTTGCTAGCAATGTTGTATTCTCAGCACGAAATCTGCCAAATTGGTAGTGAAATCGATGGTTTGTTAAAAGGTGGGTAAATGAAACGTAAATGCATTCAGGTCGTGAACAGTGTTCCACATCTTACTAGATTTTTCTGCCACTCGGGCAGTATTGTGATTTGTTCGCAAACTTAATGCATTTATTCATATCTTCAATTTTTGGGGGTATTTTACAGCTGAGTTTGCACCAGATGGTGTAATAAAGCAACGTGTTGATTTGATTTGACTTGGAATCCCTGAAAATCCTAAGGTTAAACTGTTGAGCCTCATGTGACTCGGCTACTATTTTCCACCGTGTCAGGTGAATCACTAGACAATTATTGCAGCTGTACTCCCTAAGCCAAGAAAATATCCCCAATCACATCTGATGAACATGGCACAACCGGTCGTTGGATTCTTGTGCATTCAGGCTTCGACATCCACTGCCGTCGTTCAGGACCCCAAACTAATGAAAATGCGTGACACAGATTCATTTACGGTGAAAAAGTAAATCCCATCATTAATGACAAACGGACTTGAGGAACACTCATGTAGAAGCCAGCTTATCGATTCCGTGAACGTGAGGATACAAAAAGAGTATTTATTGAAACAAGTTCAGGGGAACAGAAACCACATCGGAACGGCGGGAAAGAAATATAGAGAGGAACAATTGCCCAACAGTGTGGTTGTGCTTGTAGATTGGAGGTTTACGGGGGCGAGTGGTGGTGGCCCATCTACCGGGTGGTCTTACGATGAATCCAGTCAAGAAGGAGAAGCAGAAGACGAAACTCCACCCCGCACAGCACTGTGAGAATCATATGTCCGGTGCATTTGAGATTAACGGTAGTTAAGAAGCTCCTGATTCGAATCAAAAAACAACCTTGTATATAACAGAAGCAAGCTAAGATATGAACGCAGACCAGCATAACGATGATAAACGAAGAAAAGTGAGTCTGTGACAGGAAGCCGAAAAGAAACGAAATTCGAACTTTGGGAGAAAAACAGACATTTTGGAGAAGTGAAGCAAACGGAAGTTTGTGAAGCATGGTCATGAGAGCCCAAGATGAATTGTTCCATTTTGATGATAAACTGAGTGTTTTCAGTCACCATCGATGTCGGGAGTGGTAAGATAAAAAGTGGGAAAAGAGAGGGATTGATAATTAAACTGATACCATCAACGCATACCTGGTTCCAATTAGCTATGCACACAAATGGGGACAATGTGAAGACTACTCACCTGAGCTCGGTAACGCTGAAAACACTCACGGTGGACTACATGACCACAAGTTTGTAATAACAATCCGGACCGTAGCAGGGGTAAATGTTTGCCAAGAGTAGCGGGTAAAGCCAAACTCCACCATCGACGAGATTCCAAGTAGTATGGTGGTGCATGAGCATTGGCCGCTGCGGCTCCGGGAATCACACTGCTAGATCCACTGGTTGGAGATCGACTGGATACAAGACCACGACTAGCGACATCTTGCTGTGGTGATGGGCTAGATACAAGCGGGTTTAACGTTTGTGCAGTACCAGTTGCGACCGAATTAGGTGGAACCGACTGGAAAGGAGTGGCAGGNAGTGGCAGGTTCGACACCGGTACTGAGCACCGAAACACCAACTGTTCCGGTCGGAGCTAAGCTACTGCTACTGGCGGGAATCACGGAATTCCCGGTTTCGGAAGGGATTGACAACGGATTCGCGTCTCGGTCGTGTTCGAGAACCGGAGGGCGTTGGGCAACAAGTGAGAAAGGATCACGGTCCAGAGGCATCTCGGCAGCCATACCGTACGCATGCGTCAGCTGTCTACCAAATAGTTCAGGTAGCATGGGTGTCTCCCGGACATGAAGCATTACTGAACAGAAAAGCAGGAAGCAAATATTTGATGATCAGAAAAAATGAAGATATATAAACTCAAAAAAGAAAACTAGACAAAACATGAAAGCACAAATGACTTTCGGCTTGAGATCAACCTCGTAGTTAGGATTAATCGCCTGGAGGCACGAAAAGACTGTTATCAGAGACTTTTTAACCTAAGGTGCAAATGGTGAATGCAAAACGGAAGAATGAAATGAGGCGGGCGCAAGGTAGTGTGAGTGAGAAATTCACTGGTTGAAACGGTGCATTAAGGATGATAGAGAAAAGATCATCATTTCGCGTTGGAAAGCTTATTAGTCAGTGTCTATATGGTTGGTGCAGACAGTTTCGTTGATATCACAAACAACCGGCTGTCAATTCAATGAATTGATTTCCAACCAGATAACTTTAGGCTGGTACATAGGATAGTAAATTAGTCGAGACAGGACTCACTTCCTGATTCACACATCATATCCAATAAGACCATGTCTTCCGTGGACGGTTTTCCACAGGTCTGACATATGACGCATTCGTAGGTGGTTTCCGTGCTCTCCACGAGGTCTGGCTGAACATCACTAGATTGATCTGTACGATTGACAGGAAGAAAACCATGGGGACAAGAACAACTCACTCGGCTGGCGGCAATGAATAACAAGAAAATTAAGGCGGCAAAAAGTTTCCGAGGCAAAATGAATGGATTTATCTGAATAAGACCATTCATCATTAAAAGAGCCACACAGAAGTACTTTTAGTGAAAAACCTGCTTTCTCTGAAGATTCATTCTCACTCAAATATTGCTCGCACGGAGTGTCTCAAGAATTATCTTGTTAGGAGGTCCTATCCACTCTGTTCTCGAAGCGAGGGTGGTTCTACCACAGTGAGATTGACAAACCAATAACCTGGTGATGAGCACTGGTTTGATTAAGTGTTACGGTGTGTTGGACATCCTTGAGGCATAAACCATACCGGAAGAGCGAATGGTTGGATACCGGTCCGGAGTGGACCGCGGCTATCATACAGACTGCTCTGTCACCTTGCGGGTCAGCCTTCGACTAGCAGAGAACTCCGGTTGTGAGTCCCCACTGAAAATAATGACTGTGATTCAGTAACTCGCCCGTGAAGTAACTACGGATTATTCACTAGAAAAATCCAAGTGTCACGTGGACGGTATAAACCTAAACAAATATTAAAAAAAGTTTATTTAAAAAGTTTTAAAGTTTTAAAAGTTTTAAAAAGTTTAAAAAGTTTATTATATCCACAAATCCCAAACACAACAATAATGTACAAGAATCATTCACAGCGAAGGATAAGAAAAGACCAGACGTTACAAGTAACTTTAGGATGATAACATGCGATTTTTTGCACACAGGTAACAGGCGTCATTTTAGAGGTCAGAAGCACACATACTCAGTAATTCCATGTCTTTCAAATGCGTAGAAGCAAACGCCTTCTGTTTCGATGCCATTTGTTCCATGAGACGCTTTCGACGTTCAATCGCCGCACGTTTTCGTTCCTCCCGTGTCGCTGCCGCGGCCCCGGGGGTTGGAGTGGATAAAGAAATCGCGTTTGGAATTGATGCCGCGCCACTAGGGGACCGGGAATAAGCATCGGACGGAGCGGTAAGCAGTGATGAATAATAACAGTGAGAAGAAATTAGGACAGGAAAGGGAAGGGAGATGGCCGTTCTTTTTAATGAAGATCATTCAAATGACAATTCCGAGTTGTCAGCAATATACACATATGTGATCATCCAATCGTATTGATAAAAGAATCGTATATAGCATACCTGACAGTTTCATCATCATTATTATTATATTATTGTATTTCACACTTGTCTGAGGACAGACTGTGTCAGGCAAATCATGGTACAATAACCTTTATAAAAAAGAACAAAGTCCATGATTGGCTTGTGGGCTGAATACCGTCAAGTTGCCCAGGTCAAGGCAGGTGAATTTTCTTGAGGAATCCACAACCGGAGCCTTCGGCTAGCCAAAGCCTGACCAGCAAGGCATCGGGGCGGTGTATGAGAACCGCAGTCCATTGGGAGTCGGTGTCCAGTTCATCGGATCATTCGCCCTTCGGACAGGGTTAAACGTCCAAATCCATGTAAAAATCAACAATTTTAGCAGTAAAACGTTCCACATTCACAAGAAATGTGTGTTATGACTGCAGATTTCTCGGTGACCGCACAAGCGACGAAGTCTAAGCTAATATCTTCTAGTAGACACATTATGTTTGACGTAAAAATACATTTCTCTTTGGGCGGGCCACGGAATCACTGATGACCCGAAATTTACTAATTTTGTATCGCTCCACTTGCACCGTGATCGAGAACACGGATTAGTGGTGCGCATACGCCAGTGTACCGCTAAACTGCAATCTGAGGTCCCTATTCGTTCAGGGTTCTCACAGTCTTGGAAAGTGGAACAGCCAAATCACTGCCTCTTATTTGCAATTGCCCTAAGCATCTGTCATTTCTTCCATGTCAATTATAAAGAGATAAAAACGAGTGCAATTTCCGGGTCAGGCGGTATGCTGATTAAACAGTACGGGAGAGGAAGCAGTCACTTACTTGTCTACTAGCGCAGCAGATGGTCCAACAGAAATCTCACTAGACACACCGGCCAACAACGATTGAGGCGGTGTTGGTACCGCCGGCTGATCCGTACTCAAAGGATCCTTTGTATCTTGCATAGATGAAACAGTATCCATCGGTTGCAAACGCAAAATACGCACAGTCGAAGCAAATGGTTGTCTGGCTCGAGTGAGATACAGTCTCAAAGCTGTTTCATTGCCATGAGATCGGCTGGCGATTTTGTCGAGTAAACGCTCAATCCAGAATGCTCCGTCCCCAAAATCGACATTGTGAGGACAAGAATGAGATTGCTTACCATCGGGATCGCAGGAATTAAGATCGTGAAATTCTGGACAATGACTGGTTTCCCCAGACGCTAACATGACAGAAAAAAATGAGAAGTAACTTGGTCTGTTGAAGCGAAGCAGTGGTTGGTCAAGCGAAAAATATAAATAGGCGTTTAACCAGGATTCTCATTATTTCAATGATATGATTTCTAATCCATAAGGGAGGTCCCGGGAAAATTCACATCTCGTGAATCATTCAGCAGCTGCGTATCTACATTCAGATGGCTTTTAGCTGATACAACGTTCCTTTTGCGACCAAGCATGATAAAAAACGTGTCTACGCAGTTGATAAAAGTACCTCGATATAACATCTCAACCGGCGGCGACCGCAGACAATTGTAATGTTTATAAAAGGTAAACAAGTGGCTTACAGTACAGTTAAATAATAAATGTGTCATGGATTGTAAAGATAGAGTATGGGTGATGAATAGGTATTTCCTCTGTTGGCACAGAATCGGTCTACAACCGGTTGATAAAAATCGCTTCGGCAATCTACGGTATCCAAGATTTACACTGGTGTAACCCACTTGAAATGATCCCTCTGACCGACATCGTGATGTATCAGCATAAAGTGTTCATTAATTCAACAACTCGGTGTTTCGTGCGTACAACACTTGCCAAACACTGGTGCCGACACCGACATGCCAACCTCATTTAAAACCCAGTTTAAAGCGTGTTCCAAGCGAAATACACAACGCCTGTTGATCAGTACGAAGTACATCATCAAATCACAAGAGATAAAAGGGGCCCAGTTAAATCAATCAAACCCAGTAATGATATTACGTAACGACCGAGTTGGTTCAAGAACGCAAGCCAGCCTATAGAAGAATGTTCCGGCCAGTCGGTGACAGTTCCGTCTCACCTAGTCCCATTGGAAAAAATTCGTGAAATAAGTATTAACCAGCTGACAGATACAAGGCATGATTGGGGAGGGGATAACAGTTGTCATATTAGATGAACAAAATTATCACCACATAATCGCCACCTGTTCGTGCAATAGCCGAACTACTAGATGTGAATAAAATGCGGTCAGAAACCAAGAGAAAGGTAAAAAAATAAATGACCTTATGAATAACTGAAGCGGAATCATCGATAGGAACACATTTAAAAAGTATCCGTAAGTTAGGATTCCATGTGAATCTTCTTTTATTAAACACCTTAGTGTGATATACAGCATATAGAGTAAATGCCCAAGTCATGAGGACGTGGTATTCAGCGATGGAAACCGGTAACCTGAGTTGCGGGACCAAATAAGACCCCGATAGGCGTGGTGTTGAACCGGACGACAGGAAAGCTGCCTACCACCAAATTCGAGTGGCGGTGGCGGGGCTCGAAGCTAGGACTATAAGGTCCAAAGTAAGCCGGTGACAACGAATAAACTACTGCCTCATCAATACCCCAGATTATGAGAGAAATTACTACTGCCGGAAAAACGGAGCCCAAACGGTTATTTTCGAGACAAAAGTTCGGTGAAACGTGAAAATTTATTCTCAAAAAATTAATGTACTTTTAAATGTGGTGAGGGAGAGACATTAAGAACAGGTCATTTACGGTTTTCTTGCAGCTCCAATTTCGGAATGACATGCAGTGCAACAATGTGTGATCAAGAAAACTCGCTGTGCGAATACGGCACTGATAACTCGCACCTTGTGACTTGGAGACACATTTAGTGAAATCAACGTATGTGTGACTCAACTCGTACGTGTACCAAAACATTACGACGTAATAACTTTTTGCTGAAATCTCCTAACATGCAGTTTACAGTATCGGCCTGTGAGAGATAATCGAAACTGAGACAATATTCCAAACTATCAGAACCACGAACACAGCAAAATACCGATCACAGTACATTTTGATTTTATATACCCAATAACAAACACCAGGTGAGAATGACCCAAAACGCAGAACCACTAGAGTAATTCCTGCAAACAATATCGTTCGGGAGTCAGAAAACGTACTGCTTTGTATTTTCCTGTGCACTTTTTTTCTTTAAAACATTATCGGATTTGCATTGTGCAATTGTACAGTCTGGCTATAACTTTCGCTACTGGTGTGAACACAAGGGTTCGCAACATGATCTAGAGGAGGAATTAGGCTGTGAAACTAAAATCTAAATAAACCACTATAGTACATATGGACAAATCGAAAGAATGTTCAAAACAACATAACGCAGGAAATCCGATAAAAAGAGGACAATCAAAAACGGNCGAACCTAAAGAAACATGTTTCTTCAACGGGCCCACGTCACCCGGAGTCCGTTCATCGGCCAACAAATAGGCCGGAGGCCCCGCTGCGAAATAGCGTAGCTCCGGTGGTAATTTGGCCACAGCCTCCGGACTCAGCATGCCCGAGACAGAGGCTGCAACTGATTGACTAGCTGGCCCGGCGTTCATAGTAGTATCCGCACCGCTAACCGTATTGTTTGACGCATTCCGAACGGAAGATGTGGTACAAGTGCCGTTGGTTCCCACACCGAGCACGGCCATGCATCGGGGAGCGATGCGTGTGGTTAACAGGTTTGTATTGTTCACTTGTATCTGTTCGGGATCGTTCACCTCGTCCATGTTGCGCGTGGCTCCGCTTGCACTGCTCACTTGGGATGCCACCACGTTCGGATCGACAAAACGATCTCCGACGGCCACTTTCGGAATGGCATCCGCTGATCCGGATACACGACTCCAATGCAGACGAGCATGAGCTTTCACGAGCAGGGAGAGAATGCTGTCCACAAGCACACTGATATTTAACGAGGAGACAGGGAGGAATTCAAAGGAACGTCAATAGTCCAGGGTGGTAACATAATCACTGGTTGTTCAGAAGTAGATTGTCTAACCAAAATACACAAGACTGTGAATCTCGAAAATGAACGGAGCAAAATGCACCGTTTGCACAAGATGTCACGGTAAATCATTCGATATCATCGAGCCAATTATTAACAGTATGCCGCACACGTATAGTATGCGATTAGAATAACGTTGGGTTACGTCCGTTTTCATTTCGTCTCGATGTATCTCACTTGTCGAAATGTTGATCAACTGATCACAGTTATCTAGGTACTCAGAAGCAGAACTAAGTTCGATTAACCAATATTTGTCCATCTAAATAACGTTGAAGAAACTGTCAGTGATGCAAGACAATCAGTTGATTTGTAACCACCACTTGCCAGACTCGTCGGAGAGCAAATGCAGCACGGGTCAGTGTGAGTGCTGTTACCCAAAAAACTGTCGGTCAGAAAAGAAATTAAAAAAATAGTTGGTCTGACACCAATTACTATGGGTATTAATTACGGAAACCAATTTGAGCACTTAACATCCACACGCCGAAAGGAAATAAATACGGTACCAACCTGGACTTCTCTCCATCGGCGTCCGGTGCTGTGAGTGACGGTACAACGCTAATAACCGGATCGTGACTGGTCGTGACTGGTTGGGTTTGTGTGGCTAACATGGTTGGGGCTAGTGCGACATGAGGATTTGGTGTAGGGCGTACGATTAACCAACATCCCAAATTGTCATGCAACCCGGTTCTTGGCTGATATGGACAATTGCGCAGGCTTGAATTCCATTGAGGCGGCCGCATAGTTTGTGGAGAGTAGCGCACTTGCCCGGAAAGCTGTTTACTCCGTTTACGGGCTGGATCCTCCGAGGATTGGCCGGGGCCAGTTGCAGATTCGTCCGGTTTTGAAGCCTGCCAAGTCATTTCGTTCAGGAAGAAAGCGAGAGATCCATGACTGTCTTCCTCTTCCTCATCCAAATCATCCCGTTCCCAATCGGAGGCATCATTGTCCATAACTAGAGCATCCGAATAGGACGAAGCATCATACGAGTGACGTGGTCCGGTACACTCGGTCAGTTCATCATCCGCACCGAGCACAGCCCCGTGTTTTTGGCCCTTTTTCGGACACCCATCCTCACCGTCAACTTGCATCGGTTCGGGCATGGTTGGATGATTATTGTATGCCTAAATTTAGAGGTAAGAACCGCGTTTATATGCGTTTTCCAGTGACTAAATACAAAGACAAGCTTTCGAAAACCGGTATCAGCAAAAGAACCAATTNCCCTCTGTCTAGAACAACGGGAAGTTAAAACGGAGGTCAAGTTTGATAAGACGACATGAAATCTAAGCTGTTAAATGATTACACACTAAAGCTCAGAACACACCCGGAAGAACGAAAGGTGGAGTTTGGTTTATCTACAAATAATTGTTCTTCTACACATTTATCAGTTTTCAAACGAATTGTTAGCGAAATATTACGGGCATCAAATGACTACAAAAGTACTGCACTTTTAATCTATGGACTACTGAAAAATCGCTGTTGAAGGTGTAGACTAAGATTAGAAATGTGAAAGCCTAATACAATGCATTGATAACGATTGCATATGATGTATTTCACGTTCGATTTATCTTATAGTCCGCCAAAGAAGTCACGAGGACTTGTGAAGCTGATCCACAGGATTCAGTATCCAAAGCCGCATAAACTTGGAATGACAACCACGTGAAGGTCCCACTAGAATAGGCTAGGACACGAGATGGATGATAGCGAAGCTGCAAATTACCAAAGGATGAGTGGCATTGGTAGGATTCAAACTTTCGGAGCCCGGAGCAAGCAACTGATCATGAATTTCGCCGTTCAACTAACTACCATTAATATCCCATACCACTATCCTGCAAGAGGCATGTGTCCGAATTGAGGTGGACAGAGACTCACCAGGTTGCCTCGGAAATTAGCACAAAGGAACCTGCAGTTGCTTGAGGCTTCGAACGACGGGAATGAACCAGAACTTGAGCATAATGAAGCGCATCCCTATGGGACCATAAGTCAATAAAGCAAGAGATCGGAACGGTGGTGCAGTCGAACCAATTTTCATCCGAAATAACTGAGAAAAAGAACAGCTGTATCAGGACAAGGTGAATGAAACCGCAAATGGAGGGGTGAAAATTATTACACTTACATGAACACAGCATTTTCTACCCCTAGCATCTTGTCGACAAGGAGTATCCAACGCACGATCCAAAAGATGAATTACCATGCTCAAACTGTCCTCTGTAATCATCGGATCGCCGTAGACAAACTGCAGTACAAAGGAAAATACAGTTTTCCATTAACAAAGCACGGGAGAAAACGAATAGAACACGGAAATCCATGAACCTATACGTACGAAAATTCTCAGGTTGCGTTCGGATGGAGAACAGTGAACAGTCTCGTGTGTGAAAAACGAGTAATCTTCACCCAAGGTCAAAAATGCACCAGAAAAGCTGTGCTGTCACGCGGGAACAGTAAAGAAACCTAATCTCGCTAGCTATAAGCACGACTAAGGACCGCAGAACAAAGCTCGGTGAGGTAGCAGTGGTTATTAGAAAATCTTATGCATTGTAATTCAAAAGTGTAAAATAGTAATAATAATAATGACAAAACGATTGAGGCACCTTGGAGCCAAGTAAGCAGCCAAAATGTGGAGCAGTAGTAACAGACCGTGACAACGATGGCAACTAAAAAGGTTATGCGGCAGACAAATGAGCGAAACGGAGCAACGAAACAAAAGAACATTGGATTCAAACAGAAAATATAATAAATGCAAGCAAGTTAGAACGATAAACTAGGAAGACGATTCAATTAGTCGTGAGTGCACAGGTAGAGAATGTGGAACTGAATGATGCACGGGTGTGGTACAGTGGTACCGTGTCTAAGGTATAGGATAGTGTCCCCAGGCTTTTGAACGAAAATCTGCGAAAGCACAGACTATGATAGCAGCAATAAAAGTGCGGCAAATATACTATACGAAAGCATAAATTGCAAGAAAACAAGCACCTATGATGTGAGAAATATGAAAGTCTATACATCGGGAAAATAGGCCCATAACACTACTTATGAGTAGTCGAATGCAAACTGTGTAGAAACGTACTTACGGGCGGTAATTTACAAAAGACATGGAAAGAAGATGTGCTCGGTGTTCCAACTCAAATCCCATTATCAAGTCATTTGATAAAGAGACAGAGAAGATTTCTGTAGCTTGTTGAAACTGATATGAACTCGGATGCAACATAAAGATAATTTGATGGTGGATAAAAAATGGTTCCGAATGGTACGTGAACTTGGTATCGGTCGAGCCCGTATAGCGAAACAATCTGTAGTATAGGAGACAGGCTATCCAAAACCAAATGCGACGAAGTACCTGCTGAAGGGAGTGCTGCGCTGGTGTGATTACTCCAAATTCAGAATTAGAATCTACTTGGGCAGTGCCGCAAGAAACTTTGAGCTCCAAGGAGAGTTGAAATCGAAGTGTCACTTCCCAGTCTGATGAAGACTGCAGTATCACTTCACTAAACAGCATCAGGTTTCATGAGCATTTACCACCACCCAACAGTGGTTCATGAGAATGTGAACGCTTTACAGCTGCCTTCGTCAACCGCAATCGAGTGCAGTATTCATCATCAGTTCAGTTCAGTTCTAACAACCATTAACCATGCACTTTCGTGCGCCGGATTGTGTTACTATATCGGAATTGGATATTGTCGAGGAGAAATCGTGCGCAGATTCCCATGTCATACAGCGTCATAAAGTTCTTAATAAGCATGACAGTTTGTGTAGTCATCTTGTCGATTCAGAACGAAAGTAGGAGACTTCCTTGTCATCCGCGAATCGGAATAGAATGTTGCTAAAACAATGATCTCCAAAACTAAAGTTGTGCTGCCCTTGCAGCAGACATGAGCAACTCGATTCGGAGAAGGAATTTTAAAATCTATGTACACAATTCTCTGGCCTGACTCTATCTTCATCACTGGCGTCGTTGAGATTAAAATTGAGTCTCCTGAATACACGTCGCTGACATCGGTGTGACAGTAAAAACAAGTGACAACAACACATCACAAACGACTAGGAGACCGACAACAAAACAAATCAATAACGATATCCGGCACGGATGGAAGAACGAGATTAGTGTTTTTGAACCAAGAGGATTATATAGAAAAGATCGAAGTTATATTAAGTGGCAGGTCGAAAGTCACCAAAACAATGAAGAAGGACCACTCCAAATAGAAATAATACTGTCTAAGATAATGAGATGTATAAAACAAAATGGAGTCCCACAGAGCACATTTCAAGTAGAACGAGTGGCAAACAATCTCGTTTCCAGTGACTCGTAGTCGTGCAAATACATCACAATAAATATCTGTTGTTTTCGGAAAGGGAAAATAACATCATCGGTCAACTGGGGTTACTTTTTTCTCAGGACCGGTCGAGGGATTTACAATGATCACATAACTGTTAGATCATTCGATCGTTGGAATCAATCTGGATATGGGATGTGGAGAGTAGACCAAGGGAGCTTAAGCGCTTGCACAAATTGATTCTGGGCACACAGAGGGGAGCTGTGCAGCCGAATTCCTACCGCTTCCGCTGTGGCCAGCAGACGACATCGAAGCTGCCTTGATAGTTGACCACGAACCCGATACAGGGGACGGAATATCGTCGTCAAATTCACAGTGTGGTTTGTATTGCCTAGGTGTGAAACCACTGCATCAGTGAGCGACCTGATCGTTCCTGTATTTAGCCACGCGAAGTGGTGTTCACGGATTCGTTCGGACAAACGCCTGACCGTGCAGCCTATGTATGTTGTTCCACATGAACACGTAAATGAGTACACACAAAACGAGACAGCAGAATACGGCGTTTTGTCATTTAGTCGTAAACACACAATTGGCTCGGACATGACCAAAATTTTGAGCTTTGCTGCATAGAAGTTCTTACTAACAGCATCGGATGGTTTCCTTTGTACTACCTCTGCTGATGTATCCCCGTGGAACGGCAAGGCAGTGTATAACAAATTCCTTCTGACGTCGGTCTTCTTTACATTATCTACACTGCACTGAATCATCTTGCCAAACATCCGTCCTGGACAGCCATTGCGTGTGAAGATAGTGTGTAAGAACCGGAGCTCTTCTTCTACGGTGCCCTCACTACAAATATTCCTTGCTCTATCTGTTGGGCAGCGCACGAATTTCCCTTCAGGTTGAGCTATACAAAGCTGTAAAAATGGATATATTGGCCGTTCCAAGTCGCCTTTCTATGCACTGATTGTTACATCGACCCATTGTATTGTATTCACGCTTTAGCGAGTTATATATACAAGCCTTCGATCTACGACTCAGACAGACGTCTAGAAATGTCAATTTGTTATCGTTTTCCATTTATAAAGTAAATCTTATGTTCTGGTGGGCAGCATTGCACTTGCTCAATAGCTCATTTGTTCTTAATGTTGTGTTGATCATGCACAGAATATCATCTAAATATCGTCTGTATAAAATACAAACCTGAATCGAAGATTTGAGTTAGTTATTTTCAGGTTTCGCCATGAACACATCAGCAAACAACGGTCCTGGAGGGGATCCCATGGCCACACTATCCTTTTGTCGATGAATCTGCTCGTTGAACTTAAATTGGATGTTGTATGTGTAAACATAAAGCAGTTGTTTCAGGTCTTCCAAAAGAAGGCCTATCTCAACATTGTTACTTTGAACATAATTACACAGATATTCGATACTTTCGCTGATTGGAACATTGGTGAAGAGCGAGCTAACGTCCAATGAAAGCATTGTCCAACCTATTCACAAAAGTGAATGTCTCGTACGCTGTGTCTTGCTGATCCATTTCTATTGGGCTCTAGTAATTTAGCCAACCATTTTGCAATTGCGTGGTACGGTGAACTGCACATATCCAGAATCGGTCGCAAGGGTGCCCCTTCCTTGTGCACCGTCGGCAACCCGTACAGTCTGGGAATGGTTGTCCCAGTTGGCCGGAACCGTTCGAAAATGGTCGCATCGATTACTCCATTTTGCTTTAAACATCTCAATATTTTTGATAAGGCAACCTCTATTTGAGCGGTCTTATTCTTGTCTGTTGTTTAGGTGAATTTCGACCAGTCACTCAATATTGCTTCTATCTTTTCTACATAATCCGTTCGGTTTAGAAGCACGATCTCTGACATTTTTTCCGATGGGATACCATGATTTCTTTGTTTTTCTGCAGGTCTCTGAGTCGTTTCAGATGCTCTGCTGTTCACTTGTTTTTACTTTCATACTCTGATGTTCACAGCATGCATTGACTAAGGTTGATTTCAGCTTTTCTAACCCCAAGGTTGACGAAGGAACTATGTCAGAGTGTTGTGCATATAGATTTTCAAATTCCACCCCTAAATCAAGTTGCTTAGATCTGCCATTAGGACGAAACCTTGGTTCTAGAGACAACACTTCTAACAACATTTTGTCCAGATTAACGGATGATGATGATGAACGTACTGCTCGGGTTGACAGGAAATTCACTCACAGGCTTGACATGGTTCAGTCGCTGATGCAGCGTCGTTTGGATGCGTTCCGCTTGCTTAGCCACGATCCATTGGACATAATTTTCGAAAAAGTTTCTCTCAATCAGCGAGAGATTATCCAACACATGCGGAATTCACATAATTCCGTTCTAAATCCACAAGATGATTACACAATGTGTCACGCTCATTGAGAGCGAGACGACGAAGGGTCGCACTGGTTACGTTCACACGATTTCTACTCAACACTTTCCAATACCGTTTCGGAAATTCCAATTTAGTAACACACTCATCAATGAACTGAAATCGAGCCTCTGTCAGAGCCAGTTTCGTTCCAACGTCGGATGACCTAACAATTATGTTATTACTGAGAATCGCAAGTCTGGTCCTAAGACAAAATTAGCCCCAGTCAATCTATTATGTTATTTTCTCTTCTCCAAAACAAGGGATTGGTTTTTTCATATTTGAATTTTGATACATATATAAACAGCGTGAAATTTATTGTGATGTATTTGGCATGACTACGAATCACTGAAAACGAGTTCGTTCGCCACTGCTTGTTCTATTCAAAATGGAGTCATTATTACGACCATTTTCGAAATTCTTCTCGTGTTAGGCACGGTGATTACGAGATTATGTGGATTACCAGGGGTACACAAAGAAGGGCTATCTATTCTGGATATGGGTAACTTACCATAACATACACTAGCAAAATGGTTGGCTAAATTGCTGGGGCCCGTTCGAATTAGCATAGCGAAACAGCGAACGATATACATGCATTTTTGCCAACAGTATTCTCGACTTAAACTTCACGGGTAGAAAAATGTTCTCACTGGACATGAGCTCATTCCTCACCAATGTTTCTATCAGTGAACCGATTGAATATCAATACCTTTATGTGAAAATTAGTAACGATGAGATGGGTCTTTCTTTCGATAATCTGAAACAAGTGCTTCAATTCTGCACACACTACATTCAATTTCAGCTAGACGAGCAAATTAATCGACAAAGGAATGGTGTTCCCAGGGAATCACCGATAGGACCGTTATTTGCAGGGCTGCTTTGGTCAAACTCGGAACTAACCATAAACAAATGAGTGTTAGTTTACTTCCTTTTAACTTATTAAATATACAAATGTACAGTCAACTTTCAAAAGAAGGGCCCGCGGCTATAAAAAGATTAACTGGGAAAATACAAAAATGACGAAGACGGGCAGCGGTGGGTCGGTTCAAACCCGGGACACCCGAGTTACACCTTGGTGACCTTAGCACTTGGCCATCATCGCCCAAATCGTTGGACACAGGAACAAAAACCAGCATTATAAGTCCCTAAGAAGATCTACATTTGCCTTCCCTTCAAAGGCCTGATTTTCCTGGACCGACTGAAAAATGTGGTGAAACGCACTTATGATGTTGCCAACCCAATCGACCTATACACAACCGCATGCATCCCCATTCCACCGACAAAGCAACCCCTATCACTGTCCACCAAATCACACCTCATTTACCAGTTTGGATGTGAAAGCAGAGCAGAACAGATAGGCAGTTGCATACACGGATCCAGGAGCACAGCCCGTGTTAGATTAAACGCCGATTGACCGAGTCAAATGATCAAAGGTCATTTGACCCCTCAAATCTACACACACACACACACGCACACGCACACACACACACACCACTAACACACTCAATAACATTACCCCACCCTTGCTCAACAACTTCGAACGCAGAAACAGCCTGCGTCATCTATCGCTCGACAACTGCCGATGACGAATCATGGTCCGAACCCGACAAGATCACTTATGCTAACACCAACCCCCGGCTGCTTAGGTTTGAGGAGTGAGTAGCAATCAAGAAAGGGAAACCTGACCTGTGTGCAAAAATAACCGTCAATCACACTATCACTGCCTTGGCAGTGGTACAAAAGTGATGATTCGTCCCCGTATGGTATTCGTATGTAACCTGATTTACTGTTCAACGATATAAACTGCAGTTTTCTGCCGTATTGTACCAGTTGAAATGCAGCGAAACCAGCCTTGGTATAAATCGTGCAACCTAGCTTTGTTGTGCCCTCTCCTCAAGTTTGTCTCGGGAACTATGTTTCAATTATTGAGAACCCCACATCCGGTTTCAAGATAGACGCGATCCAAAATAATTTGTTAGTTCAATTGCCACTTGTACAAAGTAATTTTATCATTGATACCAATGATGGATATTCCGATAAATACTGGTATGACTATGAATAGCGGAAAACGAGCTCGGTCATCACTCGGTATTCTATTCACAATCATGAAAACATTATGTATGGTCAATGTGAAATATATATCTCAAACTTACCATACTGAGTTGAATGAAAATTAGGTAGTGTAAATGCCGGCTATGCAGAACGTGGTCCAGACCCATGAAATTGGGCGGCAATGATTTCGGTGTGCGATATGGAGGCCACAAGGTGGACGGATTTGCTACACCATGTCGTTGGCGGCAACTAAAGATGTAATTGTTAAGAAAAGCATGATTGATGAGCTTACAGTCACCAAAACCATATTCCGAGCGTTAGCAAAATTAGGCATTTTCACGGAAAAGAAAATCAATTATCCTTAGACAGAACTACAGTTGAAACGATGAAGCACTGGGTTTAATAACAGAAATCGGTAAAGAGCTAGTGGTTGTAGACAAAACGTTCTAATCACACTTATACAGGTTAAAATGAGAAATCCGAAATCCTCAATATTCCAAAATCTTTTATTTAGCACAAGGCAGAACACTTGCCTTCGACCGGAACCAGTCGCCGCACACTCTGGTGGTTTGTCAAAGCAGTTTCCGGCAACTTATGCCTCGCCAACTTTCTTCCTATTTGTGACCCTAACGAGAAAGCACAGTTTCCGTCTATCAGAATGACAACAAATTTTAACCTATGACTCCAGTTTTCAACGTCTATATTATTATTTCGGCCACTTACTTTTACTTCATGTTACAAGCAGAAAGGTCCAACACATTACGTGATTTGCACGTTAATAAACCACCCAAACCGGAAGCAATTCTACCCATTGTCCTTATAATGTACTTCGGAGTTACTCCCTACTCTAAGAAGCGTTTCTCGCTCTTTTCCTAATAATATATCTTTTTTCGTTCCCTAGAAACATTCCATAACCTTTTCCTATTCCAAGGCTCGGCAACTCATCTGATTACAATAACCATCGTTCAATCACCACCACCTCTTTAATTCAAAAAGCCGTCTTCACCTTGCAGCGGGAGAATCGTTGGCTTTCGACTGGCATTCTTTGTCAACTGTGATCGACAAACACGGAGAAACTCACTTGGTCTAGCTTGACATTTCAAAGGTCTTTGACTGAGNGACACGAATCTTTGCAGCCAGCGTCTCCTTTTACACGAAGCTGAAATTCACCGGATGCTTGGATATTACAGCTACAAGTGCAGTGTAGCTTCGTATTCTGCTATTGTAGTTGCTGATCTTTTAGAAAACGCATGAGCAGTGCCCTTTCCGTGTCGTTTTTCGTTCATCAAGATCATAAGCAGTTAACCACCTTTACCAGGTTGTTTTTCCCCAATAGCTAACCTTCTATCTCCTTTTTTACGAGGATCGTGAATAGTAAAGCATCTTTATCCTTTCCGTATTCCCAACCATTCTCCCCTCAAGAGCACAATCAACAAATTGGTTCTTAATCTTTCCATATTTCTCCCACTTAATAGGACATCCTTCATTATGAGATTTATTCCCTTTGTTGTAAACCCCTTTATTGTGTAAGAAAAAACACAACAAAGGTCCACATTCTAAAAGATTTAATTTGCAGTGTCAGTTTCATCACCACTCCGTTCAAGCTATCAATCAAAACGCAATTTCAAGTACATATTGTAAATGAAGTGGCTAAAATAGGGAAATACCGGGTGAGACCTTTCAGACTAGAAATATTAGGGGTTATCAGAGATACCGATATACCGGTGGTATATAGCATGCGCAATGGGAATGCAAAACATACTTACTGGTCGCGATATTTTTCCAGTGCAACTGCGGAATCTCGACGACTTGTCACACGCAACGAATGGAATATGGGGTCGAAATCTGTGTGCCATAAACTTGGACGCAAATAATAGTGACCGCTGATTAGACTGCCCGAGGCTTCGTCACAAGTCGGAGCGGAATACGTGGCAACCTGATTCGATACACACGGGAATGACGGGAATGCGCATGACAATTGTGCATAAGCGGGTGTGTGTGTGTGTGTGTGTGTGTGTGTGACCAAAAAGAAGACGCAAGAAAATATTGACCGTTAATGATACACATTAATGAATACATCGACCGTATCCATACAATCCATTGATAATTTCTAACGAAACAAGCGTCGTATAAGACTCAGACTGTGCAGATGAGTTTGAAGTCAACGTCACTCTAAAGACAGATGCAACAGATATTTTTCAAAATGACACC